GAAAATAGTACAGTACTTATAAAGATGGAAGGAAAACAAACTGGAATGAAATAGAAAATTGGAATTATAGTCACCTGGCCATGCGACATGCACATAAAAAACAGAATTCTTGGAGGATTAATGGTGTGTACAAAAGAAAAGCAAGAACAGGAAAAGGGAAAATATAATGAAAGTCATTTTACTCTATTGCTTCTTTTTACCCTGGATAATGCAATAAAGAAGAAAAAGTCCTTCAGTATATTAGAATCCTCTCCTTGTTCTACCTACAAAATAGAACTTATTTAGTCATTTTACATTAATCTGAAGTACATGTTGGACAGTGTGAAAGACAATGACAGAAACAGGGAAAAGAGGTATAGGTGAGGAAAGAAAATAAAGGGTAAAGTTTGTAGATGTTTGCATGCAAGTACAAGTTTGTTGATACCACATTCCCACACCTAATGCGCTACTTGCATGCTAGTTTGAAACAGAAATAAGCAATCCCATTCCAGTCAAAACAGATAAATGGTTCAAATAAAATGTTTATCTACCTTACACTCCACACATATTGGGATTTAAAAATGTGTGACAGAATGGGCAACATTTAGAAAAATCAACCCTTTGGATCTGGGGTGACATGACCATCATTTCATGGAAAACCTTGACTGAAAGCCGGGTGACAGGAATGTACTATCATGGATAAAATTTGGCTGAGGGTAAGAGTGACAGAATGTGCCATCACAAAAATCTGGCTGACGGCCAGGGTGATGGGAATGATTCACCACAAGTGCACAAAACTTAGAGGAACATTAGACTCAGTGGGCATTAAGGAAGGCTCTCTTGCAGTATGTCCATCAATAAACGAGGGTGGAAAGTATCATCTGTGAGCCATGGCTGGAAGAGCACCAGTCCATGAAGGACATGATTGTCATGCTCAGGATCGTACTCCTGTACACCATGACTGCCAAGGTCATCTTGATGCTGAAAATCAAATGACCTAGGAAACCAGCAAGAAAGCAAGAAACACACACGGGAAAAGAAATAATACCATTACAAAGGGGAGGCAAGAAGTCTTGACACTGCCAAGTCTACAAGATAAACACCCAAGAGAATCGTCACTCAAGTAAGTCAAATGCCCGGAATTTATGCCCTGTGCGGGCAGCAAGGCACCCAGATCCAATAGGTTAACGATACTAAATTATGTCAGCAAGAGCAGAACATAGGAAAAATGATAAGGCTTGTTAAGCATACTTGTTCCACCTTTCTTTCCTGAACATTCAACCTAACTATAGTTTACCTTTCAGCCTGAACACAGCCTTATCTCTGGTTGAGAAAACTAAAGATACTGAGCCTGTTTTCATGAAATAAATGCAATACTGATATTTCAAAAGAAATCGCCTGAAGAAACTTGAGTAATGGTTTCAACTCTGTGACCCATATCAAATTTTATCAACTAACTAAAAATATTATTTGTAATTTGCACTTTAGTAGTTCTTCTCTACTTGTTTCAGTATCAATTACAACATAGCTTTTCTTAGACCTAAATGGCAAGAATGCTTTTGGCATTACCACTAAAAGAACTGCAACAGCACCAGTAGTGGCCTTACAACTAAGAGTCGCAATCATTAGTCTCCGAATACAGACTCTTGGCATTTCATTTCAAAATTTTGATTTTAAGAACATCTTGTAAATACTGCTTTTGATTTTTTTGTTCTTAATATTTTATACAAACACCATTCTTTTCATTAACCCACCCACGATGGTCCATTTGGAGGGTGATAATCCTCATTTCCGAGTGGCATCAAAATCCGCCTAAGGCGACAATATCAGAGTGCAAGCTCCGATCTAGCATCACACCAATGGGACACCTGGATATGGTCCATATTGCGTTATTCCATGCTACACATATGTGTGACACCCATCACAAGTGATAAAAAAAAATAAATAAATAAAAAATAATAATAAAATAAAAAAAAAACAAAGGTCCAAGTTCAGACTTGTTTGTGTGAAATTTAAAGTTTGAATCTATTTATCTATAAAAAAGAGAGAAAAAAAAAATGAAACGCCAAATGAAATCTCTTCTACATCAATCCCCTTTATTGAAAGAATGCATCTCTTCAAACTACTAATTATGTAAAATAAGAGCTAAAGGATTTCGTACCAATATCACGAAAAAAGGTCATCACTTCAAACATTATCCTATATCTTGAGTATATCAAAATAAAAAGCATCTTATATGCAGTAAACACTGTTCAAAGGCAAAACTATGCTTTGCAAAGTCTGCATCTAAAGCACAAAACAAGCTGTTGAGCAAGATATGCATGAGAGTGTAATATATTCAAATAAGCATTTGTATATAGTTAAAAATATGTCATGGAAAAGTGTCTTCATATATGCACATGCAAATACTTAAGTATGCATGTGCATATGTACACGTAGTTCTGCGAGCTTTTGCAGTGAAATGAGCAATGGTAATCAGGAGATCAAAATTAAATGGGTTAAGTATGTGGGCCCCGGAATGTAAAGGCAAAATTTGCTTCTACATTACATATATTATCACCATTCACATTGAATGTATGAATAACTCTGTACGATCTGATGATAGAGAAAATACTGAAATGTAAGTTGGTTTTTTTGGTTCTGATTTGTTTTGTTAAGGTCTGGTGAAAAGGAACACTGTATACTGATCTATTCTCATAGATGCATATTCATATATCTATAGGCATTTACACTCAATAATACATGCACACTTTTCTTATATCATATAAATGCAAACATACTCTTATGTCAGGTAATTGAGAACAGCATATTCAAGCATTAACCTCAAAGCGCAGTTTCATGAACTAAGTGGGAATTTGTATGAATGTAAATGTCAATTAATTCTGTAAGTAACTCACCAAGTACAATACTGCCCCAAATTCAAGTTAGTACAAAAAGAATAAAACCAACTTCAGATTTACCAATTAAATCCTTTCCAAACTTACAGAGAATATAAAATGTACATACACATCAATTGTGTATATCTTGACTAATTTCTCATTATTTGATAAGCCAAGTCTTTAAAAAGAATACATTCTGCTTAATATTCCCCAAAACATTTTTACTGCAACAACAATATTGAGAGATGTTAGCTTGTGAGGCTAATAAATGGAATGTAATCAATATGAATGGTGAGTACAAAAATTAGTTACATTAGCAACTTAACAAAACTGCCGTTCTTACATACCTACAAAAGAGCATCTCTCATAGCTACTTATGAAAGCCTATCATCAACTAAAATATATGATGAGACATAGTAAATAATCACCTGACTGATAAATTAGATATGTCTATCAACATATCGCATAACAAGTCTCTCATTCTAATCACACTTTTCTGGTATTTCCAAGCCATTAAATATCAACTTTTGACCATTTATTATCCATTAGTCATTGACCTTAGTAAATTTGATTTTACATTTTAAGAAAAAGTAATCCATCTCCTCATCCATTTCGGTTTTCATTAGAAGCCTACCAAACAATGTGGCAAGCAAGGTCTAGAAAAGTAAGGTCAGCTCACTTCAACCTTCTGTGAAGCTCAGGGGTGGGGGTGGGGGTGGGGAAGGACAAGTGTGCAAGATAACAGCCTGGGGCTTATACAGTAAAAGTTGGTCCCATAAAAAAAGGAAGTAGGGGACATGTTCATAGAAGAATATATGTGCTAAGCTGCAGGATGATGCGGTTGAGTGGCCAGTTCCTTTCTGCCCTAACTTTGACCCCATCATGCTGATGTCAGCACTAAGCTATTTCACCTCTCTTATACATGAACTGGGGCCTTATACCTTTGAAATCATGATTCTGTAAGGACAAACTATTGTGTCCCATTCTATTGAGCAAAAACATTGGACTCCCAATGGGTGCCAATAATTATATGGCTGCAACCAGTTCTCTATTCGTAGAGAGGTAATAAATCACCCATTTCACTTCACAGGTAATCTAAAAAATAATTATTTGAATTACATTTATTTCAGCTTTAGGTACTGAGAACCTGCACGGGGTCTTTGGTAGTCAGGATGAGCTGATCTTCTTTCCCCAGACTTTGGTGAATCTCTTAGCTAACCCACTAGCACGGGTATATTTTGAGGCCGAAAATAATAGTTTCCGGGCGGTTTCAAAATTGGCACACAGGGCTGGCCTAGAATCTGCCCGCACGCCAGCCACGACCTGCGACGAAATTGGAATACAAGCTCCAATCCAGCGTCACACCGGCAAGACGCCCAGGAATGTTTATTTTTCCGGGTGTCTCATGTGTGGGACACCCATCGTAAATCGGTTATTATGCGGATTTAATAATATCTTCATTACATGAGGCTTTAAAAGTTCCTACATTTTTGAATTCCATATGAAAAAGATATATACAACATCTGTGTGTGTATGTGTGTGTGTGTGTGTGTGTGTGTGTGTGTGTGTGTGTGTGTGTGTGTGTGTGTGTGTGTGTGTGTGTGTGTGTGTGTGTGTGTGTGTGTGTGTGTGTGTGTGTGTGTGTGTGTGTGTGTGTGTGTGTGTGTGTGTGTGTGTGTGTGTGTGTGTGTGTGTGTGTGTGTGTGTGTGTGTTATATAAATATATAATATAAATATATAATATATATAATATGAATATATAATATATATAATATATAATATATAATATATATAATATAAAATAAATATTAAAATATATAAATATATAATAATATAATATAAAAATATATATATATAATATATATATATATAAATAAATATATATATATATAATATATATATGTATAAATATATAATATATATATAAATAATTAATATATAATATATATATAATATATATATCAATATATATATATATATATATATATATATATATATATATATATATATATATATATATATATATATATATATATATATATATAGATATATATATATTTATATATATATATTTATTTATATACACACACACATATATACAGTTATAGATATATAAAGAAATATAGATGTATATTGGTATATATATAGATACATAGATACATATATAGATATAGATAGAGACAGATATAGATAGATAGATAGACTGGTATATAGATAATGATATCTGTAATTATTCTTAGAAATAATATTCATAATATAAAAATGACTAATGATCATCATGCCTGAGAATCCCTTCCATCCTACTTTGCCCTCCCCAAGAAAATATCATCATCAAGTTCGTCCAAATCAGAATCCAAGAAATTATAAGTTTTCTCTGACATCTTTGGCTTCTCCTCAAATCCCAGCACTGTATCAACATCAGGGATATCTAGATCGAAAGTACAACCACTCTCCTCTCCTTGGACAAGGCTCCTATCCGGCACATCTTTGGTCGCAAACTTCTCCTTCTCACTGGCAGTACTCAGCTGGTAGTTCAGAAGGACATTCTTCTCCTCCTCTGGCATCTTGACACCAACAGCATCACTGCTCTTCTTTTCAACAGTGGCAGGGAGAGCTGGCTTGCGATAACACTTGGTGCACTGGGCCGCTTTCCGTACAGCGCTGTTCACGTCTGCCAGGGAGGAGGAGGCTCTGTGTGACGCCCTGATCTGGGGGCCCCAGAAGAGTTTGCGATCCAGCCATGTCCCATCATGGATCCATGTAACTAGGGAGGCCATTTCTTGTAGCAGGTCAAACCTGCGAATACTTGCTATCTGAAAGGGTTGAAACAAAATTATATGTCATGCATATTGCACTGACGATATGGTGAGCTACGGGTGACTTTGTTTGAACTTTATGCTTTTATATGAGTATATATGGAAGTACAACTATAAACGTATGAATTAATGAATGACAAGAAAGAAGTCACAAAAAAGAGAGCAAAATGACAGAGAATGTGAGAGAGAATGAGAAAAGAGGAAGGAAAATTGGAAAAGTAGAAGGAGAAGGAGAAGGAGAAGATGAAGTAGAGGAGAGAGAGAAGAGGAAGGGAAGAGGAAGGGAAGAAGGAAGGAGAGAGAGAAGCAGAGAAGGAGAAAAGAAGAAGAGATGGAAGAGAGAGAAGAGGAGAGAGAGAGAAGAGAAGGAGAGAGAGAGGAAGAGAGGAAGGAGAGAGAGGAAGGAGAGAGAGAGGAGAGAGAGAGAGAGGAGAGAGAGAGAGAGAGAGAGAGAGAGAGAGAGAGAGAGAGAGAGAGAGAGAAGAGAGAGAGAGAGCAGAGAGGAAAGAGAAAGAGAAGAGAGAGAAGAGAAAGAGAAGAGAGAGAAGAGAAACGAGAGGAGAGAGAGGAGAGAGAGGAGAGAGAGAGAGAGAGAGAGAGAGAGAGAGAGAGAGAGAGAGAGAGAGAGAGAGAGAGAGAGAGAGAGAGAGAGAGACGAGAGAGAGAGAGGGAGAGAGAGGAGAGAGAGGAGAGAGCAGAGAATTATCATCAGATCATTCAAAGGGTTAATATAATATCATCATTATTCATCATCAGTGATCATTATCACTGATATCATTATTAGCAATATCATTATCACTGTCAATATTATCATCTTTATCACCATTATTATTATTATCATTATAATTTTTATCATTACTGCATCATTATAGTAAAACTAAAAATAACAACAAATATATCTCATTACCGGATAACGAAACCTAGTCCATCCTTACAAAACTAATAAAAACAGGAGAGAAATATTCGCACCCCATACCTGGCAAGGCACGTCAGCACTAAAAGGTAAGAGCACAGTGGCAACTTTCTTTGTGACGTGATGAGTGATGAAGTAATGTCCTGTCAGATAGCGCAGGGCAAAAGTCCACTGGCCCCGGATGGGAGTTGCACTCTCTCCATTCAGGTTGCCGGGCACAATGAACAGGATTTTGCTGGCCTTGTTCATTTGTTCACTTGTCCAATTATTGGGGTTCTGGGGGGGGGGGGGGAGATCACAATTTTCTGTTATCATTATTAATATTACTTCTTGTTAAGATTATATAAAGAGTACACTTTGTAATATACAAGATGCTTGAATGTGTTGACATAAAAGTGCATGAACTTTAAATTACGAGTAGTAAAAGTGACTTTTATACAATAATTCTATGGGCTATACTTTAAGAAGGGTATTTATGTACAGCATTCCTCATATTTCATATACATGAGTAATATCTTAATGCATTATTACAGGAAACTTGTTAGCTGTTCAAATATCTATACAGTTTTGAAACAAAGAGAAGAGCCTTCTTGACATGTAAGAACTTACTTTAACTTACTTAAATTAAAAGAAAAGAAAAGAAAAAAATGAAGAAAAAAATACAACCATTTTTCTCCATACCTCAGTCCCCACATCAGTGTCTACAATATATGGCTGAGCATAACACGAGTCCTTCAGAAATCCAGCGAAAGTCTTCACTAATTCCAAACAAGCACTGTTCTCCGGTAAGTAAATCAGTAGTACACTGGGCAGGTTCTGTTTCAAGGTCTCCAACAGCTCTGTAAATATATCTAGTCAGCTGAGAAGGGCAGCTCAAAAGGATTTATTATCGACAGAAAAATCATGATAAATGTTTATACAGGTGTGAATAAAATTCAATATCATCACAATGTAAAATATGTTTACAAAAACACAGTTGCAGCATTGGATTTCAGTTTGTACCATTCTTCAACAAAAGTAACAAAAACTAAAAGAATATTCATAGTGAATACTGATTGCTTCTAATCCCAAGATACTTTACCTTCCAATGGTGTACAATATGCATGAACTACTATTCTTAGGCAATGGATCAAGTCCAGTCTATATTGGACCTTTAGTTAATACTCAATATAAACTATATGCAGGCTTATTTTTTTAAACAAAACTTAATCTATCACCTTCATTTAATATCTTATGTCAAGATTACTTCCCCATCCCATTCGCCATGGAAGTATTTTTTTGGCTAGTGACAACAGAGACGGGATTATTGGCACCAATTAGCAGTTCCCCCATTTGCGGACATTAGGCACCTAAAGGCTTTTTTCTTATAATTTTAAAACCTTTCAAATTAGTGAAGGTTTAACCTCACATTACATGCTACTGTCATAAAGTTTAACCATATGATTGTTGCTGCTACTAAAGGAGACAAACAATCTCCATCCGATAAGCTGATAGCACAGGACTGGCGAGCTATGGTGCCAAACATTGTTTGGCAAGAATGGATGGCAAATATGCTCTATGGGTTATATATGTCTCTTTCTACAAAGAATGGCTACTCTTTTCTCATTTACAACATAAATGTGCTAGTACATACTTCAAACAAGCATTACTATTATCCTACAGATTATAATAGCAAGCGATAAGACTATTTCCCCATTCTTCCCTTCGTTGTTTGATTTACACTTTGTTCAGTATGTATACTTCCCCGCCAAGCAAATATTTCAGGTCCATTCTTATGAATGGATGCAAGGCTAAATAACTCTGTAACTCACTTTTGTTTTCTTTGGTGCGGTGATGGAGAGTGAAGGTGAAAGCAAAGGCAAATATAAGGATGAACATACAGCTGATAAAAATCCACATTCCCAGCTGGCTTTCCTTCACCTCTGTAATTCAGAGAAAGAACATAATTAAGACAATTGGCCAATGCCTAGGTTAGGATATACTTTGGCAAAAAACAACAAAAATTCTACTGAATATTACAAAAAATATCCAAGCCATTCTCTGAATGACCTTACTAGTGTGAGAGAGGGACAGCATCACCAGAAAGATCACTTGTCCAAAACAGCTTCATGGGCGGAGTGTAGTCACCATTATCTAAATCCTCGTAGGAGGAATGACAATGCAAATACAAAACCTGTTCAGGGGCATTCCTCTGGCAAGGAACAACCCTGGAGGTTGAAGGCCAAGGATCATCTACCGTCTCAATTTCAGGTCACCTGACTAATGCACGGGTATTATTGAAAAATAATCAACAGTAAAACAACCAGACATGATGTAAAAAAGAACAGAGAATTCTTTTTCTTTTCTTACTTTTCTCTTTTTATTTCCTCTTTCTTTCATTTTCTTTTCTCTCTTCTTTCCTTCATTATTCTCCTCTCTCAAAAAAAGTTATAAAATATTAAACGCCAACAGTAATAATAAATCAAGGGATTCCAAGAAGATGGACACACACACACACCTTTCCATTATGATGGTATTCAACCATTATACTGTTACCAGTATAAAAGCCAGAACGAGTCACAACAACTATAGCCATACCCATCATGACACCAAAATTCTCCATGATGGCCACAGCCGTAGCTATCTCCAAGGGGTTCATGTAATGCACTAAAGACAATGACAAATAGTAAATAAGAATCACTTGTCACTAACTTGGCAAACTCCCATCACATGCAGACACTTTTGACATAACCACTCATATTACTCTATAATAGGATTTTTTAGCCTTGGGGTTCATGCACCCCAGGTCCATGAACCCCTATTAATTTATAGACTCTATACTTAGCATGTTTTTTAAGACTGTTTACTTAAAAGTTTGGTAATGCCTTGTGGATCTCATATGTGCATGAAACAACCAAACCTAAATAAATAGAGTACATTATACACACTGCATGCAAAGTTGTATTTATGTGAATATTTCTGGGGAAGGGGATCCATGGCTCTCAACAGATTTTTAAAGGGGTCCGTGATTCTAAAAAGGTTAAGAACCACTGCACTCTAACATCACATTTGATAAAAAGTACTAACAATCACATAAGACACAAATATATGAGTAACTGTTTTTCCGTTTGATAAATACATGAGATCATGAAATTTCTTCATACATTCTCGCTATGACCCTAATTTTTAATGCAAGACATCAAATACGAATAAATCTTTCTAATGACCACTTGAAAAATTTCTTATGCAACTTACCAAAGACAGGCGAGAGTGAAATGTAACAGCCAGTGGATGGACATAAGGAGGAGACGATTTGCACAGTGACTGCATAGTAAGCTGGAGCTCCCCAAGATGGCAGCAGCTCATTCCAAAGTGGGGGAATATCATCGGTCCAGTTGGCTCTGAAGCGAAAAGAAGTGTGTGTGAGAACAATTGCGATAGCAATATCTCAATTTTTTTCTTGGTATGAACAGTTTTATCAACAAGATTTTTATCTTACATCTTATATAGAGGGGTAAGTGTAATATCAGACAACATATTACAACAAGGAAGTATAAAATTTAATCCAAAGAAACTTTACTTCATCAGAAAAAACTTTGACAAGATATAAAAGGAAAAAGTGTTTTAGCCAAAGGTTTCCTTCTTAGCGTAAATCAGCTTTTTAACTAAAAATTCTATAAACAGGTTCTTGTTCTGAAGAATATGAAAGGGAAAAGGAAAAGGGGAGGGAAAGTAGTGGCTCTGAGCAGAAATGCTTGGGTACAGTGACTAAATCTATACATTAAATAATGTACTATTGATGACATTATTTGCCATGATATAAAAGGAACAATAATCATCATGGAACAAGTCATTTAACACAAATATCACGAGTAGTGCATGTGCTATCACCCACTGACCTTCATATCATCCCTTTTAATTTTTATATCAATCAAACTAATTCATTTCCATAAAAAAAATCAAAAGATTATATTCTGTCATTATACATCATCTAAAAAATAAAGACTACAGATATCACAATCACCAACTCTGAAACATGTACTAGTTTAAGTGTTAACCCAATGCTTCTAGGAACATGCAATATCCTCTGTAGTTTTGTTCTATGAAATTGTGTTCAAACAGATGGATGCAGAGTACTCAGTCACAATGGAATCAAACAAACACAAGGCTGAAAATTTGCATGGAATTTTGGAGCAGTCTGCCCGATCTCTGCTGTGTGCAGCTGGACCAGCCAGCCGACCACAGAAAGCTCTAGCGGAAGAGTGAGGTATGATGAATAGACATATCCAGCACAAAGCTTGCTAGAGCTATTCACACTGGCATGACGTTAATAATACTGATAGCTATATAACATAAGAAATAATATTACCAATAGCTATACGGAATAAAAATTGTACTAGTTTAAGTGTTAACCCAATGCTTCTAGGAACATGCAATATCCTCTGTAGTTTTGTTCTATGAAATTGTTTACAAACATAGATGGATGCAGAGTGCTCAGTCACAATGAAATCATATTTCCAAAAGTCGAATGGAGGAAACAGAAGAGATAGGTAGGACTAGTATGGACTCCTTGGTGACTAAACATCTGTAGAGCTATCCATGTGTAAAAACAATTAACCCATTGGATCCAGATGCTCCACTGCCATCATGTGGACAAAAATATGGGCATTAGGCTTACATGAATGGACACTGATGGGTGTGTAGCTTGTAGGCCAGGTGCAAACAAACATTTGTATATGTTATTTGCTCTTTTATAGCATAAGCATTTTTAGCTTTTTTGCCACTTTTCAATGTCTATATTTGTCATTTGATCTGTTTTATCAAATTCCCCTTTTCCCAAGTGATTTTCCTGGGGCCACCAAGACTTGATATGATCCATTCTCACTTTTTAGATGTTTTCAGAAAATATGTAGTCACTTGTTGATTCAAAGCTAATAGCTAAATCTTGTTTGATTATTAAACAACAATTTGAAATGCAATTGAACAATAAAATAATCCACTGAATTCTGATAAAACTGTATTTTTCTTTATCAAATCATCTCTATGTTTATTGAATAATATAAATATGATAATATAATATAAGCCTATACATTGAAGAACAGACTGGGGTTGCAGTCTTGTCTGTAAGTGCATGCTTGGGGTCATCAGAAAAAAAGGTTGGGAGCCACTAATCTAGATGGTAATTGACTGGTAGTCTATAAATTTGTGCAATAATAATAACAATAAGTAACCTTATGGAGTTAACAGTGTGCAACAGCGTGTGCACGAAACTACAGTGGACACTACAAGTACCTGTGTGCACCATTTTGTTATTTGTCTTTTTTATTCTTTTATTTTATTTTCTGTAATACAACCAGCATTACCAGTCATGGCAGGCAGGGACAGGATGAGTATGGAAATAGCGTCCTCCCTGGAGCTAGTGCTCTTCCAGTCATGGCTCATGGACATTACATTCCATATCAATGGTAATAAAGGAAATGCCTCTTCCTAAACACCAAATGAGTCTAATCACCCTCCAAAAGCTTTGTGCACTTGTTGCAAGTTTTTCCAATCACCCTGGCTTCAGCCAAAATGCTCACGATTGTAAGTTCACATCACCCTAGCCCACAGCCAGATTTTCCCATGACAGCATGTTCACGTCACTTACCCCTCAATCCAAATTTTTAAGGATGCAATGGTCAGTCACCTGGATAGTATAGGCTAATGAATTAATAATCAAGTAGGCATGGCATAAACAAAAATGCTATCCCTAGCACTAATGGGCTAATAAAAGGAAAATATCTAAAAATAAAAAAAATGAAATAAAACTACCTCTTCACAGAGAATGAAAATAAAACTGTCACAAAGTACAAGAAAGAGCAAAAATAATTCCAGGCAGATTACTTTTGCTATCTCTAAATGAAAATTGGTGAATTAACCAGACAAGTATAGCACAAAGGCTTTCATTTGTCATAATATATTCAACAGATACCATGCAAAGAAATCTATCAGTGGATAAGAATGATTATGATTTTTCTTTTTATTGTATCTGCCACACTGCCCTCACATCAAAATTCTTATGAATATCACATATTTTACCTTCTGGCCTGGAATGACATGACATATCAGCTATGTCCACTGCAATTTTAGTTAATTACAATGGTGTATGAAAATAGATGGCTCCTAAAACCAAGAAACCAATTAGCAATTTTTAGCTCCCTCACCTGTTTACCTTTTAAACTGAATTTTGGCTAGATTCATTTCTTGTTGTATTTATTATCTTAATAGTCTTTTAATATTCATATTGTCTATCAAATCAACAACAGCATGAATCTTAGAAGCATTAAAAAAACTCATTTCGAGGAATGGTAAAGACCTTATGGAGTTAACAGTGTGCAACAGCGTGTGCACGAAACTACAGTGGACACTACAAGTACCTGTGTCCAAAGGGTTAACATCTACATACCATATTTTCACACAACATCCATACTACCCCTCATTCACAGATTGATAATGAGAAAAACAATTCATACACCAACCTACAAGGGAACAATCAATATCTTTCAAGTAGCAAAAATATTTTTAAATCAATAATACCAATAACATCAATAATAGTAGCAACAATAGTAATCATAATAATAATCAAAATAATAACAATAATAATAATAATAATAATAATAACAATAACAATAACAACAAAGATGATAATAATAATAACAGTAAAGGTAGTATATGAAAGAGAGAGAGAAAAAAGGACCCCAAATATCCTACGTTTCTGGCTCTCCTACAACACGTGAGACAAGTATGCTTCGACGGAGACATTGCAGGTCTGCGTCCAGACACTTCACAAGTGAGACATTGTAGGAGAGTTTCTTGAAAGGTGCGGATTGTATAGTCACAGGCAAGTACGGGGAACGTTGGATATGGTCAAGGTGCAAGAAGAAAAACACATGCCAATCCTCAAGCTTGGTGTTATGACGATCTGCAAATTTTGTGTACAAAGATATTACTGACCATTTTCTGTTTTTAATACGTGCTTATATGACTGTGATTCTGAGCACGTGGTCATGCACATGCATGCTTGTGTGCATTGCGTGTATGTGCACGCGTGCATAAGTATAAAGGGAAGGATTGTATGTCTTTGAATAATTTCTTGAGGACTATGAAATCTACATGGATAATTCTTTGTCTATGTCTACTTCTATATAAAATGAGTGAAATCAAAAAAATCTCTGCACTATACTAGCCAAACTTACTTTAATTACTACTTAAATGAGAAATGTGGGCAAACAATAACTATGACAGAATAAATGGCACAGGAAACTCAAAATCAAAAGAATGGGAAAAAAGCCTCAACTTTCACCTACAACCTGCCAAATCAAGTACAACAACTGCCATTGCAAAAAAGAAAAAAGAAGAACAATGCAAATGTACTTTCAAGGTAAAATGAAAGATTTTTGGAATGTGGGTGCCCATGACAGCAGTAGGATAAAGGTTGTTGCTTTTTCTGTCATTGTACTTATAATCATGCTTACTTAAAAGAAAAAGAAAAATATCTAAAATTTGTGCATGACAACTTACTTATTGGGTAATTTTACTTTGAGCTATCTTTCATAAGTGTTCATTTATTTAAGTAAAACAAGAGGTATTTGTCTTCATGCTGACAATATCACTCATCACTAAAACCTGCTCTGTGCAAACTACTCTGACGTGTCAATTTTAGATTATAGCTTGATCCTTATGATTTAAATTACCAATGATTTTTAAACTCATATAACATCTAGTTAGTAAAACTAGATGATCTCTAAATTTTACTTACCTAGGCTATCCCAAAAGTTTTGCAACAAAGGTCATAATCAACAGCAAAAGACACTATCTTGCAAAATGGTAGAACTACATCTCACTAAATTACAAGGAATGTTCTAGCACCTACATCTGAAAGAGATCAAAGTGACTTCTCTGTAACATGACACTGCCAGCTGAATTTCTAAAGGCCAAGATGGAATCTGGACCGAACATAAAGAGATACTTAAAAAAGTAAATATTATGGTGTCTGTGCTATTCAAACAAGCAATGAGGTTCTTTGAATTTACAACCTGAGAGGAGCTGAGTCACAGACCTCTATCTGAGTTGCGCAAAAAAATGCAGTCACTATTGCATAGTATCTACTAATGCATATGGTGGAAATTTATCCAAAAAGGCTAAAACAACAAATAATCATTCTAAAAAATGCAAGATGCAAAACTTTTGGGGACACCCATCCACCAAGCTAGTGGAACTACTCTAGCTAAATATCAAATATCCTCAAGTATTCCTTGAGGCCAAAGCAAAGTCTCACCAAAATTCTCCTTCTTTGGCACCCTGAAGCCAAAGTTACCCCCTGTCCCTTGGTCTGTGATAATGGACAAGTCATAGGTGTGGTTGGAATAACCAAAGTTGTTGAAGAAGACGCAGTCCCACATCAGGGTGTCCACCAGGGGAAGGCTCACATTGGACAGCAAGAAAGTGCGGCACAAAGACTCAGTGTTGTCACGTCTCTTGTAGCGGAACTTCAGGGCTGCAACAGATTTATGAAAATTGTAGGACTCCTACAGCAAATAATTTGTTTGTGGCTATTTAATAATTTCCTAACAAAGTCTAAAGCACTCATTCTTAACTCTGTAAATACTAATTCATGATAATAATTCAAACAGTATAAAAAGTCTACTAACCTCCCTTACATCTGCACTCAAAAAAAATATATACAGAAAGGGAATTAAAAACAAAAGCAACAACTTTTGCTGATAACACAATTATTCAGAATTGAAACTGCATACTCAAAAACAAGGTTTCCATAACTCAATCCACATTATTCAATAATCATTAAACCAAACAACTGACTAGCACTTACTTTGCCAATTAGGTGTAACAAAAGATAAGTTCATGGCAGCTCGTGACTCCATCCACGTGTTGTAAAAATACATTCGTAAAATGAAGGGCAGTTTGTCAGGAGGTGTGAGGCTGGCCCTATCGATGAAGCATTCTGTCGGGAGAAGAGTCTACTCACACACAGACACACAATAAGTGTGTACTAATCCAATGGCTTGTTGTTTTTTAGGCTATATCACTAGTTTACCTCTGAAGCAACTACCCTTTTGCATTCAACTATTGTTCATAAAACTGATTTCCATTTACATTCATCAAAGGCTTGGTTCTTGTGGTGACTGATAAGTGGCATAAAGGAAGTAATAGAGTACACCTGTAAGGATTAAAATATTAAAAAACATTCTAACCATGAATAAACTTCCTCAATTAAGAAAATGAAACATGACAGATGACATAAAAATGTAAGAATTGTAGGAATGATGGAATACGATATAACTATCTGTATGTTGCTGTTACCACTATCTTTAAAAATATTAATCATGATAATATGAGTTGTATGAGTTGCTGGCAACAATCTGAGTAAAAAAAAATTATTTTATAAGAAAAAATCTTACTATACCCTCTACAGATTATCCTTGACCAAAGTTTAATTTAATTGCACACAGTGTAAATGCCTAAGGCAGTTTAAAGGGACAAGGTCATCTGCACCAAAAAGAGGCTTTGTGATTTCAATTGTGCTTGCAGAATAAAGATGATTTTACCTAATTATTTGTTTCCAGTGAGTTGCTTTTGTTCTTGATGTATTTAAGAGATGTTTTTCTACATATGGTGACAATGAATTGTCATGCCACTGACACTGTGGACTTGGTGTCTTGCGACTCTTGTCAATATGGGGTTTGCCGTCTCACTGACATTCTGGTTCGCAGTTTTGTGTTATATTTATTGTTTGAAAAAAATAAATAAAAAAAGACTAAAACTAATAGAAAACTTTTCAAGTATATTGCTAAAAAAGACATTTAAAAATCCTTCAGATGCTTCATTCATTGCATCCTCCTTTTCCTCAATGCCACAAAGAAGTATTGTATGATTCTTAACATGCTTATGATACATCCTAAAACATTTTATAAATAATAAAACAGATACAATAGAAAGTAGTTTAAAAAACAACATATGAAGCTGGAAGTATGGCGCTCCCACCCTTTACATAAAATTATGAAAGTCGTGAGCACTGGCTACTTAGAAAAGAGAAGGTGCCCGCTGCTGGTAAAGCAAAACTTCTTTCTAATGATGTACCACTCTGACAACTCCAAGCAGTGAGATTATAAAAATATAATTGTCTAAGTCAAGAAGACAATTTTTGGGTGGTCCTGGATCTGAGAATTTTGATAAGGAATCCTTTTAATATAGTATAAGTAACTGTTATATTTTCCTGATTTTATGGGTACATTCTCTCTATGATGATCAAGCCATGAAAATTGAGGATTTTGAGAAAGAATTATGATGCATACTACCATGGCAGATCTTTAGAAGGCTGTATCTCTGATATCTAATTTTGACTTTATTCAATTCACAGAAAATCACTGATTTACTTTTGACTATCAGGGTATAATGGTTCATACATTAGTGAGGGACAAAGTAAGAGATATTTTCAATAAAGTGGAGGAGTTAGAGTAATGAATGACAACCAGGGTTTTTGACAGCATCAAGCAGAAGCAACAAGATGATATGGCAACATTCAGCAACATATAGGTTATTTCTCTCTTCTTATTGCATAGGGCCCTAAAGATATCATTAGGTATCTGCAGTCCCCCCAGAAAATTGAAAAAATAGTTAATTACTAAGGACTTTTATATTATAAATAGTGACATGTAGCAATATCATGAAAACTGCAATTCATATATTAGTAATAGGTGACAAGGTACATTTGCGCCATGCTTGCTTCCCATTTACATACCAACCAGCCAGCTCTTCTTGGCAAACCTACACAGAGCCCTATCATCTTGGGAGTTCTAACCGCAAGGTGTACTTCAAGCATTAAAATGGTGCATGATATTTGCATAAACACTATTCCACTGATGCTCGCCATAATG